AATTGTCTTGATTACTGTGGCTTTGTAGTAGAGCTTGAAGTCAGGTAGCATAATTCCCCTGCTTTAATGCTGTTTTGTATAGAGAAAACAACACCCAGCAACTGGCATGCAGCCCAAAACCTTCCTCCAGGATTCAGTAATGCAACCCCCAACCTGTACCCCTGTGGGACCCATCCTGCTCCCTGAGATCAACTCAGACATTTTCCCTGACCCTTTTCATTGGTTGTGGTCCACAGACCAGCCTCCATTCCTCCACAAGGAACACAGACTAGACCCATTCCCATGGTCTGACTGAATGTAGCATTTACCCAGATGTGTTCCCACCTAATCAGAATGACCACTGGCCCAGAGGCCACAGCCCATGCCCAGAAGTGCCACCTACATGAAATGTGAGTTAGACTCCTAGGCTTGCCTGAAGAAAGTGTCACACACTGGGTTGCTTAAAACAACAGAAACTTATTATGCTACCATTGTGGAGGCTCAATACCAGAGTCAGTGTGTCATTCAGCCATCACCACCTGCAGCCTGTGCGGATCCATGGGCGCCTCTTGCAAGGTCTGGTGCAGTGGGCAATTCTGGCATTCCCTGGCTGGTAGACACACCAGTCCAACCTCTGCTTCCATCCTCATATGGCTTCTTCCTGTGCATCACAGGACACCAGTCACATGGGCCAGGACCCTCCCGACTCCGGCAGGACCTCACCTGAGCTGGCCACATACACGACAACTCTGTCCCCACAGAGGGTCACATTCAAAGGCTCCTGGGTAAGATTCAACATACCTTTTCAGGGTACACACTTCAACCCGCATCTATGGGTAAGAAACATCTTGAGCGGTTCCTGAAGAAACAAGTGCTCCTGAAGCCAAGGGCTGCGTTGATCTTTGGTCTAAAGGGAAGCAGTTGCAATGTGTGCAGTTGGGACATTTCTGTGCAGCTCTGAGGACAAGCTGAGCATCTGTGCCCTGAGGGACTCTGGGCAAGTTCCCAGATGAGTAAGTAGGTGGAAGGCCATTTCAGGACAACGATGCTTTCCCCCTGGAAGGTGTGGGACAGGTACAGCCCAGATGAGGGTCTCCCAGGCACTTCCCACTGAGTGAGGGACACTGGACTTGGAGTTTGATGATGACGCTGAAACAGGATTGTGGTCACTCTTGACGTCTGACCTTGGTGAAGGACAGCCCATGATGGGGAAGACACTCCACCCATGAAAGCCAGCAGGGTTCCCTGAAGCAGTTCTGACTCTGGCCCACCCCAACACCCAGAGTGACACCCCAGACACTGCCCTGCCAAGCCAGCCAGAGGCACCCCAGGCCTGAGCAGATAGGCCTGTGAGTTTGGCCCGCTCATGAGATATAAGACCACAGACAGTGGTGATGGCTCCCATGCCCTCTTCAACATCTCTAGGAGGAGAGACGAACAGTAACTAGGGCCCATTACACTCTGTGGAGCACCAATGTGGGACAAGGATGGCAGGAGCACGAAGTGATGTGGGGCAGAGACAAGTTCTCATGTGGATTGACACTTCGAATCTGAATGAGGCCCAGGTGGATGGGGGAGAGGCCATGTGAGGCCCGGGTAACCAGCTGCAGGAGGCAGAGGAGGAGCTATTTTGGCTGGAAGATGAAGGAGGCCTGTGAGGAAAGTGGCATGTGAGCTGCTTGAATGACAGGTGGTCCTAGTACTGAGGGAGGGGCTGCAGGCACAGATCACCCCAGGTGAGTGTTGTGGGGTTGGCGAGGTGCGCACACACTGGCAGCCCTGGCAGCTGGAGCCAGGGGTGCGTGGGAGCTCCCTAACAGCTGAGGAAGAGCTGGGTGGAGAAAGGCCTGGGGAAATCTTAAGGTAAGGTCTGTGAGAGTCACCCATGGTGATGACAATTCACTGGGAGGCGTGAGGCACACCTGCCAGGACCAAGGCCTTTATTGGGCACCCAGGGCTGCGCAGCTTGGGCACAGTCACACCCACACTCAAGATAAATTGCACAGAGAGGGTGATAGCCAGGTCCTACTTCTACATGCCTGGTCTCAGGGAGGCAGGTGCAGGGCTCCCAGGCTGGACGAAGGGCCTGTGCATCACCCTAACCCTGAAGAGGGGGACAAGTCTTCCCAGGGCATGCTTAACCTCTGCATTCCTTATAGAGTAAATGAGGGGGTTCAGGGTGGGGCTGAGTGCTGTGTACAGCATGCCGGACACCTTGCTTCTCTCGGGGCTGTAGCTGGAGGCAGGGCTGATGTAGGCACAGAGCACGGCTGAATAGTACACAGAGACCACCACGAGGTGGGAGGAGCAGGTGGAGAAGGCCCTCCGCTTGCCCTCCGCTGAGCGGATACGCAGGATGCTGGTGATGATGAAGCCGTATGACAACAGGGTGAGCAGGAAGTCAATGACCCCATAGAAGACATCAGCCAAGACAGTCATGATGCTGTTCACACGCGTGGAGCTGCAGGAGAGCAGCAGGAGTGGGGGGATCTCACAGAAGAAGTGTGTGATGATGTTCGGACCACAGAAGGGCAGCCGCATCATCAGCCCAGTGTGCACCGAAGCATTGACAGCACAGACGACCCACACGGCCATGGCCAGTGCCCTGCACAGCCATGGGCTCATCCTGGAGCTGTAGTGCAGTGGGTGGCAGATGGCCACACAGCGGTCATAGGCCATGACTGTGAGCAGCAACAGCTCGGAAGATGCAGACCAGACAAGGAAGAAGAGCTGGGCCGTGCATCCCAGGAAGGAGATGGTGTTCTCCTCAGACACCAGGCCCACTAGTGCCTTGGGCAGCACGCACGAGGTGCAGACAATGTCCATGGTGGCCAGGTTGCACAGGAAAAAGTACATGGGGCTGTGGAGGCTAGCGCTGCAGCTGACCACGGAGATGATCATGGTGTTGCCCACAAGTGCCATGGTGTAAAGGGAGAGGAGGCAGATGAGAAGGGGCAGCCACAGCCCAGGATGCTCGGAGAAGCCCTGCAGCACAAACTCCGTCACCAGGGTCCAGTTGGGCCTTGATGCCGGCCCAGGAGCAGCCCCCAGGCCCTGCCTCATGTGTGTTCAGTTCCCTGAGGAGAGATCCCACAAAACTCACATCACACTGGTTCTCATGGGTGACCACCTCCTGACTTGGCCTACCCCCTGAGAGGGAAGGGGTGGCCTTGAATTCTTCATGGGAGCCCATTTGTTCCTTGACCTCCAGCCAACACTCCTCTGAAAGCCACACAGCCTTCAATTACTTTTCCTTTCATTTTTCACCTTGAGAAAACTTCTCCTCTAGATCTGTGTTCTGTGGGGCACTGACCTCATCCTGACCTTCCTCACAGGTGGGTCACATGGAGCATCCCTGCCTGGGAGCTGCTCTTTCTCTCCCCTCATCTCCAATCCATGCCCTGTGCTCCAGTTGCTGTGGCAGCAGGGATGTGACCCTCTTCAACCTCAAGAGCTCCCTCCTCTGGCTCCGTGTCTCTGGTGGACAGTGAGATGGTGTCAGGGTCTCAGTCACTGCTCCTTCTGAGCAATTTTGGGGTGGGACCTCTTCTCCCCTCCCTTACAATGTGTGTGATTCCTCACTGCTGGTCTTCAGCCATCATTTCTGATATGTGCGCACTTAGCTCTATCATAAGTCGTGTGTGTGTGTGTGTGTGTGTGTGTGTGTGTGTGTGTGTGTGTGTGCTGTACTGGAATCCAGGAAACAAGCTGAAAGCAATAGCTGAGAAACAAATGGACTGAGAAGACCCTCCAGCTGCAGCCATTGGAGGAAAGCTTGTTCCTGAAGTCAGTGTGACTCAATGGATCCAGTAGGAAAGAGGAAATCACTCACAGCCAGCATTGCTGGATTTGGGGATGAGTAAGACTTTGATCAGACAAAAGACTTTCAGGTGGTCAGAAGTATCCCCTCAAGTTCTTTACTAATTACAGAGGAAACATAGTAACCTCTCACTGATTGCCTGGCGAAGCCCTAATAGCTGATGCTGCTGGCTGTGTGCAGACCGTGCCCTGAAACATGTCCAGGAGTGGGCGTCAGATTTGCCAGGCTCCCCGCAGAAGCTACACCTCAGACAGAAGGGGCAGACTAGGGACATCACCCAATGGACACCAGCCTCCTGAGGCAGCCACTCCACGGGTGACCCACCTCTCAAAATTCACATATTCTGTGTATGACACTACATATGCAGCTGGAGGATTAGAATGGCCCTTTCCAAAAAGCAATCAGTCAATACTTGATCAGATTCCTGCCAACTGGCCTGAGAAAAGACTTTCAGAGGCCTTTCTCCCTACTGGCTGGAGAGGCAGGTGTTTTTATCCCTCTATTTCAGATATGGGAACTGATGTCCAGAGGGAGAGATAGTGTGCCCCCTTTCCCGCCCCCATGGCTAGGAGTAGGGTTGGCTGGATGGCATGGAGGGCCCTGTCCTCTCATCCAGGCTGGTCTTTGAGAACAGAGCTTAGGCTCTGAAATGCCCATGGAGAGAAGGCTCACCTGTCAAGCTCTTGAGGCTGTCCCGGGCACAAGAGGACTTTTGCAGTGTCTTCACATGGGCTGAGAGCCCCACAGCAGCAAGTAGAAAAGCAATCTTGGCAGGGCTGGCTTGCACACCTGTGAGGGCTGAGACATAGCCAGAACATGGGCTGCATGTCAGGTCACAGACTGAGATGCCTCTGGCCCCCCACAAGCCCCCACCTGGAAGCTTTGGTCACAATGAACATATTCTAGGAGCCACCACCCTACAGCCACAGCCCAGGTACCACACGTTCTGGCCACTCTGTACTTTGTCTCTGGACTTCTCCCAACTGATGCCAAGGTCAAGTGGCAGCAGTACTTTCGCTGGGTGGCCTCCAGTCATGCCAGCATTGAGGGCACGGCCAGCACTGATGCAACCAGGTAAATATTGCCCTTTCACTGGAAGAAGGAAAGTCACTCCTGCCTCAGAGGCTGGCCTGTGGTGCAGGGCCTCAGGGCGGGGCCTGGCTGAGTGAGAGGAGCCCGAGTTGCCTGGTCACAGACTTGACCTTAGTTGTTCACAGACCATTTGTGTCCTTTCAGAAGCAGAGTCACTGGCTGGGCAGGTGAGTGAGAAAGCCAGGGTTTGCACAAAGGGTGAAAGGAACAGGTTTGAAGAAACTCACTGGTCATGAAAAAAGTGTGATTTATGCTTTTTATGTAATAGAGCATAAAACCAAAACTTTTCTACCATATCCTTTTCTTTGATCAACACCTTCTATGAAACTTGAAGACACGCTAATTCACTTAGAGTGTGCTGCCGTGACTCCACATGGGTTCTCAGGACTGTGAAGGCATTCCACGTGCAGTGTCAAGTGAATCTTGCTCTCCGGCCCATCCAGAGGGCTGCTCAGCCACGCTTCACTCACCTTTGTCTGCTTGCAGCGGCCTCTGTGGCTCTTCTAGGAGGCGACTCCAGCCACAGTAGGCCCCTTGGTGACCGCTGACACCCTCTATCCTGCATCTGCATGAAGCGGGTCTCCACTGCGCTCCTGGCTGGCTCTTTGGGCTGAAGTTCAGCTGCCTTCAAGTTCCCCTCTGTGTTTCCAAGGCCAGGAGCAGGTGTTGTCCCGGAGACCCTGGGGAGGCCAACCTGAAGAGAAAGCCCTCAGGGCCAATTAAATGTGGCTGCAGGGTTTATGACCACACATCTCTACCAATTAGGCCTCCGGGAGAGAGCTGGGCAGCCAGAGCTCCCGCTGTGGGGGCAAGCACAGCCCCTCCCTGAAGCCCCTTGGTCCAGCCCTCCCCACACCCCTTCTGTGCATCACCACCACAAGGCCCGATGTCCCATGTGGCGGGTTCACTAGGCTCAAACCAATTCTACTGAGCCTCCTTTGGCCTAATTTTACATACTGCTAATAACACATCATGTCAATCTTACCATAGTATGGATCTATCCTTCAGGTATTTCAGTACCCTTTTATGTGTCTTTTCACTTTTCCTAAGCTTAAGTGATTCAGTAAATTGCTTGAATTGTCCTGAAAGTGTTGCTCCAGCACTTCCATTGTACAGTCTAGATACTCTGTAGATAAATTCCTAGCTTTTATCCTTGCTGGATTGTACCCCAGATTCCATAATTGCCATCAGTGTGAATGCATTTTGAAAAAATGTGCATTCTATCCAGTGTTCTTTCCTTGTGATGAGGATTTTTATATCAACTTTATGAGATATACTTGACATTTAAACTCCCTGGTCATAATGGTGACAGTCATGTCTGCAGTGTGACCACCACCATGTTCCTGTGTCTTGGCGCTCAGTCTCCCCAGTCCTCACTTCCTGGCCTGCACACTGCATCGATTTCTAAATTCCTCTATTGATCTTGTCTCTTCTGGGACCATGTAACAGAATCATGTTGTTATGCTCTTAGGTATCCAGCTTTCTTTCTGTATAAAATATCTGTGAGATTTATCCCTGCTTCTGTACATATTCATAATGTGTTCTCTTATCTTGCCAGTAGTATTTCATTGTACTTTCATTCAGTGAAAGACAAACATTTTCACTGTAGAAACATATAAAATAATTTTTAATAGTTTTCCAAAGATTCATTCACCTGTCAGCCAACATTTGGATAGCTTCCAGTTTCAAATCTTGCAGAAGTGAATTTGCTGTGAATGTTTTTGGCAGTATTTTATTGGTGTTCATAGATGTTTTCATTTAGCTTGGGTAATTCTTAGAAAGAGCATAGCTGTCTCCTAAGATGGTGACTTGCTATTTCCAAACCAATTGTCCCATCCACTGCTTTTCTCTGATGAGGATCTGATGATGCGTACTTTCCCTGTGCTCACTGACTGTGCATATATTTTCTCCTATGAAGTGTCTGTTCAACTGATATTTTTTCCAAGTAGGCCATTTGCCTTTTATTAAAATGTAGAAAGAAAATCTTCGTCAAACATGGTTGTGGGAAGACATCGTACACTTACGGGCACACGTTCTGCTTCTCCAAGAGCATGTTTTGAGTTTCATTTTCTAAAAAGCTTTTTTGAAGAGCAGAATTTTTTGTATTTCATGGAATCCAATTAACCTTTTTTTTTGGCCTTCAAAGATCCTTTTTATTCTAGGTTTCATAAGTCAAGATACAACCTG